GTAATATGCTTTCTATATCCTTTTAAATTCTGTAAAATCTGTGGTAATGTCTTCTAGGTCTTGATAGTGTAACTTAAAAAATGTATAATTGATATTGTGTAATACGAAGAAAAGGTCTAAAGGAGTAGGGGAAGTGGGAGGGGTAGAGGAAAGGAAAGAAGGAAAAAGAAAAAATATGAGAAAAGGAAAAAAATGGAAACAAATTCTTTGCAAATAGGGAAGGGTGGAGGGGGTGAAGAGAGGGCAGAGGAAGGGGAAAAAATAAGAACCAAGACACATCATGTAAAGGTACAAGATCTTAATGATGAATGTAACTGTATTTTATACCTAAAATGTACCAATAAAGTTAATGGGGAAAAAAAAGAATCTCTGGCTTGCTTAATTCCTAACTAGAAATGAATTTTTTCCATTTAGTCAGCTGTTACAACTCTGAAGTTTGGATCTTTAAACAATAGAAAACCTGTTACACAAAGATGCAAACATTACTCACTAATTAAGCTTCGAGATTTTAGGAAATTATTTTCTATTTTAAGCCAACCAATGCTATCTCTTCAACTAAAAAAATGTGATTTTTTTCTGCTGGTGAGATGAAAAATGCATACACATTGCAAAATTCTAATAAAATTTCAGTATTTCAAAAGACCCAAGTCTTTGACTGTAGTATTAATAATTTTCTGTTACTTTGTGCTTTCCTTAAGGACCACACATAAAGATATGAATGCCAAGGAATTAAATTTGTTTGATGTTCCATTATGCCCAAACCTAAAGAGCTATTGTTTTTAGTAAACGGCACAACTTCACTGGGGTAGAAATCTAAAAATTGGTAATACATATGTGGATTATTATAGATCCAAATTTTAACAGACTTCAGAAATACAAAGTATGAACTATTCAAACTCACTTAATGTTCATACACTAGAAGTTAGATATATCTCGATTATTTTAAAAACAGAGAGTAAATGTTTACAAAGGAATAACCAAGGTTTACAAAAATTTTTCAATGAAATATGAAATCTTCCTCCATTTGCAAAGTATACATGTTGTCTAGAATTTAGTAAAGAAAAAATTAGGAATTGAAGAGAATGAGTAGCTTCATAAATGTGCTTTCTTTTTTCAGTGCAAGGTGAGGGAAGGGAATCAGGACCTCATTTCATTAAGCTTGTGCTCTACCCCTGAAGTACATTTATCTAGATATTCACACAAGGTTCATTTCTAGTTACTATCTCAAATATTATTAGGTAGATGTATGTGGATAACAGGGTATAATTCAGGATCATGACAATAATTCTATCATAGAAACAGGTGCTGTAAAATATAAGAAAACAACTGCTCTCTTAATCTTGTATAACCTCATTAAATTGCTTATCAAGCTCACAAATTTCATAGAGATTAGAGTTACCAGATTAAATTCAACAATTCCAGTGAAATTATACCCATTTATATTATTAGAAGGTTTTGAAAGAATGAAGTTTTATTATTCTTAAATAAGATAGAAATCAATGCTTGGTATTCTACATTTCCAAAGAGTTAACAGGTCAACTTGGAACTGTTTCATGGTCTGTGCAACCATGCCATTAATGATATAAGAAGAGTAGCCAATTAGTGAGACCATAAATATGGTAAAAATATACAAAATGTTTTGGAAACAGATTTTCCTCATAACATTGGCTTCAACATCTTTATGTATTAGTACAAAATTAGTATAATTCGCTCAAATGTGCAGTCCAATATTCTATGGCAAGAAAGAACTAATTCATTACTGCTTACAGGAATAAAGATTGAAGTATATTTGAAATATTAAATTAATATTAATATTTAAAGGTCCAAAATAATAATTATAAGAGTGCCTATGGAGTTATTGTATTAGTGAAGGGAATAGTAGCTACAAAACTAATAATTAAAGCTATATTTCTATGGAGACATGTTAAGCAATTACCTCCATAATTCAAACAATTTTTTCTCATATTCCATCACAGTTATCTGGAAAATTAAAGATAACTCATTTGAAGCATAAATTATTTAGTAAATCTTCTCTAGAATACATGGAATATTTATTTCATTTGTTTTTTTATTATACATGTTTGCAGTATATTATGAATACATTCATTGTGGGTATTTGGTACATGTAATTGATGAATCATATTTCTTTTTTCATCTCCTTCCCCTCACCCACTACGCTCATTCCCTTCTCATTTGTCAAAGATCTATCTCCATATTTTCTACTTTTATTTTTTATTTTGTTTCACTTTGACTTATTTATACTTTGTCTTTTTCATATAAGAGAAACCATACAATTTTTAAACTTGTGTGTCTGATTTATTTCACTTAACATTAGGTTTTACATAGGAAAAATATAAACATGAACTAGCATGTTTTCTCTGCATTTTTGTCTGAATAAAATTATCCAAACTCTTACATTTTCAAATTGGCTCAAATCCTCCTCATGCTCATTGAAGACACCTTCCAATCTGCGTCGGCGCCTGTGCCTCCGGGCTTCTAAATAGGAGTGTTCAATCTCCTCAGGTGATGACTTTGCCCTGAACCTCTTTGGTGACAGTCTTTTTGCAAGTGCTTGCCTTAGACTAGAAACCTTGGATTTTTTTTTCCCTGATTGTTCTGGTTGAGAGTAAAACACATCTGATGACAGGTTTTCCATCAGGGTTTGCAGTAGACCAAGTGGCTTTGAGTTATGCGAGTTTGGTGCTCGAAGCAGGTATGTTGATAGTCCGTCTATGAGTGCTTGAACTGAGCTAACTGCCTGTGAGGGCTCTAGTGTCCAGGCATGTGCCTGAGGTGACCCTTCAGTTGGCCCTCCTACTGGCATGAGCACCTGAGTATCCAAATGTAGTGGCAACAGCACGTGGTGGCTCTGTGACAGTAGGGGCAGGAACACCTGGGCATGTACCATTAATGACTCAGGTTCTTCTGCCTCAGACTCTGCTTGTGCAGGCTCAGCAGCCTGCTCCTGTACCTCTGGCTGTTCAGGTGCCTGGTTCTGCCCCAGATTCTGTTCAGGAACCTGGTTCTGTATCTGCTGTTGTTCAGCAGCCTGGCCTTGTCTTTGTACTTGTTCAGGTACCTGATCTTGCCCTTGAAATTCCTCTGGCACCTGGTCCAGGTCTTGAGGTTGTTTTAATTCGTGGGTTTGTGCCTCAGCCTGAGCCTGCCGCATTTTAAGTACTGAGGCCCATATCTGTAGAGGCCTAAGTAGCTTACCCTGAGACTGTAGTGGCATGAGCATCCGGGCTGCTCTCCGCAGTCTCAGAGGTGCCTTAATCTGCATGTGCAGAGGCCTAGATGCCTTAGCCTTAACCTGAGCCTGTAGTGGCATGAACACCCGAGCTGCCCCATGTAGTCGCTGAGGTGCCTGGGCCTGCCTTTGTAGAGGCCTATGTGCATTGTCCTGAGCCTGTAGTGGTATGAACACCCTAGCTGCTCCTTGTAGGTGCTGAAGTGCCTGGACCTGGGGGTCTTCTCGATCCGGAAACCACCTTGGCTGAGAGGGTTCTCCATGCAGCACTCTAAGTGGTCTGCATTGGCTGCTCGTTGGCAATCTCAGAAGCTCATGTGTGCAAGAGGGTCCTCTGAAATAAACATACAAATTAGAATTTGCAGTGGAATGGAGCCTTTCAGGGAAATTGCTTTTATTTTAAAAGAGACATTTACTGCCAAAGGTATTTTCGGAAAATCTTTTTGGAACAATTCCTGTAATGTCTGAAATATCCTGCAGATAACATTTGCAATGTCAATATATAAAATTATTAATGGAGTATAATAATTTTTTGATCATTTTATTGCCACATACTAAGAGGCTTTGGGTAGTAATAAAAAAAAATCTCCAAGTCAAAATCTCATAGAAACAGAGCTGCTATTTGGTGTTTCAGAAAGGATTAAGCTGTTTTGAACTAAAGGCAGCAGTATGGAAGCAAATGCATCCTGTGAATTGCTATCATCAAATTATAATGCAACTTGTCTAACGCACCTGAATCTTCTCATGGTATACTGCTCCTTAATTACTTCTTCTCTTTCAAAGACCAGAGGTATACCTTTTTATGAAAGAGAAAGATAAACAATCTATAAATTTTCAGCAGAGTTACACATAATCCAACTTTGTTGTTTTGTACCTGAAAGTAGCAAAGAGGATAGCCCTTCAAACATATGGTTGGCTTCAAACAGACAATATTCTAGGTTCACTTTGCAACACGATACAGCTGTTGAAAGCAGATAAATATATCTATGATCAGGAAAAAATTTAGCAAATGAATTACTGCTACAAAGGAAAACATGGATTAAGAGAAACTCCAGATGTCTGGCGGGCATAGCTTACACCTGTGAGCTCCACAGGTAAAGACTTTATGACTTGGAATTGATCTTTGGTATTTTCAAGGAGAAGGTAAAATCTTAATTCTTGGTTTTCCATCTAGTATGTTTGAAAACATTTAGCTTCTTTCTTGCTATGTTATAACTACTGAAAATGAGAAGCTTACAAACAAGAGTTTTCTTTTGAATGTCCAACATTAAAATGTTTAGGATGAGTATATTTATATCTTCAGTGTAACCACCATATAAATGAGACTTTGCCTGTAGGTAACATTCTGGAAATCTTGCATCGCTGGATATCAGTAAATTATGAAGTAGCTGTGTGATTTTGCTGCACCCATTTGAGTCTGGTTGGCTTCTGTGATGTTGGTTCAATGACTTCATTGCCAAAGGCACATAAATTAGTCTATCTTCTCTTCATTTGAAAACAGGATGAGTATAGTTATGTGGATGGAATAAGCACCATTGCATTGCAATACATCCTGCAGCTAATTTGAGGATGGCTGCTATGTGTCTAATTTTCCCTTCTCCACTCCCTTGTTACTCTGAACCCTGTACATGATCCATGAAATTAAATGTAGAATATGTTGTAAATCATGATGTTAGAGCTTCCCACGTAGTTTCCCCTGTATTTGCTGACAATCTGTTCTGTCATTTTGAGCATTAATAGAAACTCATTTCTATTTGTATAAATTAGTTTCTTTAATAACATCTCATAGTTAGTGATTAATATGTAAAATGAGTCTTTATATGTACAAACATTATGTCAAAATTAGTAGCTAATAAATGGTTAATTACAAATCCACCTTTTTCCTAGGGTCAACTAAATTATCTTTAGTTTGAGTCAACTTACAATAATATTGCCACATCATAAAATTGTATTTAAGGCTTTCAAATTCTTTGTATATATAAATACTTGCCAAATACAACTGGCTGTAATGAATAACCTCATATAAAACTCACAAGTAAGAAGTAATCGACTGAATAAAAGAACAAATTACTAAAAAAACTAAATGTAAAAGGCTTCAGAAATTGTATTTTCAATCTAATTCTTAAAAAATATTTTCCTTGAACATAATAAATACATAAATAAATTCTACTTTCATCTAAATATTTATTCCAATGAAATAAAACTTCTCAAGTTCTACCTTTTTTCTGTCTTTTTTTAATGATTCCAGTAAGATGTTTTGTTAATGACTCAACAACATGCTGTTCATTTTTTATATCCTGAACAAATGGGTGAACAAGCATGTTTGCAGAGGTAGGACGAAACAGGAAGTTCTTTATCATGCACTTTTCCATGAAATTGTGGAACTTTCGAGACCTAAAAGAAATGAATCAAACAGATAAAAGAATATTCTCCAGCCTGCCACATAGCTTCTCTCCCTAGCCACATGCCACTCTGAAGGTCATATTTTTGGAAAGAGTTGTCTCTAGCTGTAAGGGTCTTTTTAATTAGCAAATATCCTGCAATTCCCTGATATACATTATACAGTGAGGTTATTTTTTTAAAGAACCCAGAATCAACAGTATTTTACACAGATAATAGTAGAAATGTTAATGAGCTCAGCAGGGTGTACATGATAAAAACTCACGTGGTCATTTGGCAGTTAAGTGGCTAATATAATGTAATGTAGTTTGTGTAAATAGATTGCTTGCCTCACAGCAGTCATCAACTGAACCCTGAATATTTCACTTACTATATTCAGTTTTAGCTACAGAGGAATGGATGTAATGACTCAAAAATTGAGTGCTAACTAACCAGGATTAAACTAATCTTAGAAAATGACCCATGGAAACAGATGTAACCCCAAATTCTTAATTTATAGACAGGGTTAATTTGAACTATAAAGAATGTCAATAATCAAACCATAGTAACCACTTCTACTAGCAAGCAATAAATACTAATAATAAAGCAAGAGTTTAAGTTACTAGATCAACAAGCTTTAGAGGGAAGAACCAAGTTTACTGACTTATACCATCCTGGAAGAACAAGTCTTCTGTTGTAGGTCTATGGATGTTTAGTACAATGAGACAACCAATAGTGCTTGCTTTATGTAATACTTAGTGACTGCCTATCTAGGCACAGTGAAAAACTACAAATTTTTGTCTCTTGTCCATCTCATTACCATGGAAACAATTAAAAATGCCCACTAATGATTAGACAGTAATGCCATCATCATTTACTATGAAAGATATTACTTATTTTTAGTTGGCTAGTTAGCTCTTAATGAAAGCTGGTCATTTAGACTTTTGAGTTAAGATATTGAGTGTTAGGAAATATTCAACAAGGATGGTGAAGCAAGACCAATGAACTGAATGAAGATTTTTCTACATAAAAACATTAAACCAACATGCTTAGCAGATTAAGACATTTATCTTTACCATCCACCAGACTTGACTGTAGGAGCAGATTCCCGTAAAATAATAAAGAGGGCTTCCAAGGGCTGAAGATTACACAGAGCTGCAAAAAAGTAAATATGTTTAGAGAAGTAAAAGGCTAACTACAGAATGCGCTCCTCATTCTAGAGGGAATATATTCTTAGTGTTCTTTCACATATCCTGCTAAATGTCACTAAGAGATGAATAGTTACAAAAGAATATAGCTAAAGGCAAACTCATTTTAACATAAACATTGCATTGTATATGATTTTAAGGCATTACCATCACAAAGTGTAACAAATTAGTAATAAATTAAATTAGATAACATTTTTGAAATGTGTGGTTGATTAATTATATTAGAAAATTTAATCAAAAGTGGAGAAAAGCACTTTCGTGTTTCCATATTGTAGGTACTTACAGTTGAAAAGTGGAATACGTAATTATAGGCTGAAAAAGTGAACCCAGCTTGTGGATAAGTACAATAATGTGCAAAGAGAGATGATTTAGTAGTAATCTATTTAGGAAGCTAAGAGTCCTAGGAAAAAAGGTATAAACAGTAAAAATAATTGTTCAGAACACACTCTCTCTGGGTTCAAATCTTAGCTCTCTGCCTTTGTGACCTTAGACAAATTACTTCACCCATTTAGCCCTCAATTTCTTCATCTGAAAAATGGGAAATATAGAAGAAATCCCTTCTAAAGAGTTTCCATGAGGATTAAATAGCAACCTATAAGTAAAAGAGGAATTTTGCTGGTGCTTAATAAATACTAACTATTAATATTATAATAAAGATTTAAACTATCTCACCCTTCAAGTCTTTGGCAAATTACTGAACTTTCATTGTTTTGTTTTACATACAACTATACAAAGAAAAGCTGATTGTAATATGTGCTAGATAGATTAATCAACTCATTGCTCTTGGAATTCCAGGTTTCTCTCTAAGTGTTTAAAAATGTCTCTTTACTTATCTCTTGTTGTGCTTTAAAGAAAGCTGACAATCCAAACAATTCCTAATAGAGAGCTATGGTGTAGATTTCTCCTAACACTACAGGCATGTCATTTGTGTGAGGACAGTTTTTATGAATGATTTTCAGTAGAAATATCTTTCCTCTCCCAAAATGCCTCATCAGAAAACCTACAGTGTCAAGCTGCCCTTTCATAGTAATACAATAAAGCTCCCTTCCCAGAGTTGTTTTGTTAGGGTAAAATAACTAATGAAATTGTTCAAAGGTCAAACTTTGTTTTCAATTACATAGGTACAATGAATAGAAGGTACAAGCTTATAATTAAGCACAGAATTAGCTCCAAGCTCAAAAGATCAGTATTATATTTAACTCTCTATAAATCCTTCACTGTGTGCAATCAGTCATCAGGTTCTGTCCTTTAAACATAATTTGTACTTGTACAATATTAAATACTTTGTTATTCATTAACATCTGCACATCATTCAGTCAACTGACATTTTCAGAAGTCAAGGGTGACTACATGGACTAGGCAAGGTTTTATTAGTGAAAGGGAAAAGTTCATACAAGAATGAAGTATATAGGGTGGGTACAGGAGGAATGTGAACAGCAGCTATGGAAAACTTCCTATACTGTTTAATTTTAGGAATGTTAACAAGTGTCCTTGCCAACCTATATCTAACAACACTGCCCAAATGTTCACAATTAAAGGCTCCTTCCTTTGAAATAGCAGACCTCCTGTAAATGTCACATCTCTTAATAGATTGGGCACACTAAATCTGGTTTAATTTGAATTAGGTTAAATAATATGGTTTGTTCCTAATACCTGTTAAGACCTGAAGGAATCTTCTGCATATTGAAGAAATGAGGGACCCTTGGTGGGACAAGGGTAAATTTGAATTATGAGACAGTCAGGTAAACATTAACATGGGGTGTCAGAGAAAGACATAGTAAAAGAAACAGAAGCAGGATAATTAAAAGGTATGGTTGATGATGTGAAGAATAATTTCCACTATATCAAAGAGCATGCCAAATTAGGTAAGATTAAGGTAAATTAGTTGCTGTAGAAAACTGACAAGGAAGGGCTTTTGACCCCATCCTGCTTATCTCTCAGAAAAGATTCACATTTACATAAGAGAGAGAGGCTAACAATCACTAATCACTACTCTACGACACTAGTTGGCCAATATATGGTGTCTGAATGACAGCTTATGTTCTAGCCTTGGTTTAACAGCCCTCATAGTGCTTAAATTCCTACCAACAAAGTAAGAACTGAAGACGGTTCTGGTATGCCAGGGCCTAGTCCTTTCTTTTCAAAGGCCTTACAGCAAATATTCATGATGTTATTCTTCCCCTTTCATATATCTCTGGGAGATACTAACCAAAGAAAGATCAAGGGGAGATCATTTTGTTGTTTGGATCTCAAAGGATATTGTCAGATAACTGTCACTTTGGAAAGCCATCCCCTCTGAAGTGATAATTACAACTTGAGGACTCCTGCAGTTAAATTGATGACAATCATTTTTGTGCATAGCTACTACCCCAGGCAATAAAAGAAGCTATTGAAAAGAAATGTTTTGGCAGGGCAGCTATCTAGAGTTGCTCATGATCAAAGCTGCACCATTTCAATTACTTATCCAGACAAGCTGGCTTTATATTCTCCCCTTGTGAGTTTAGAATATCATGGTCTTTACTAGTCTTTTGCAAGAAGCTTGCCATTTGCATACTCTGTGCCAAATTCCTCTGCATTCTTTCTGTGAATTTACTCATCACCTCATTTCCTCCCATAACTTAATATTTTGGAATAAAAAATGTGCTTTTAGGGGAAGATTTTGTGAGAAGCACTCAGAAATAATGGAAAAAAAGATGTACTTTGGCAACTTGCAAAACTACTTGATGAATTCATGCATATTAATCAAATCCTTGTATCAATAATAATATAAGCTATTATATTGTACACTTAAAGAGAGAGGGAGTGGGAGAAAGAGAGAGAGAGAGAGAGAGAGAGAGAGAGAGAGAGAGAGAGAGAGAGAAACAGAAAGAGAGAATATGGAGAAGATAAAGAAATTGGAGAAACACCACCAGAAACAGTAACTGTTCTACTCCTCAACCTAACATAATTTAATCATGATTTTAGATAAAAATAATCAGAAGATAGGGTTTACATCTCCCTAATTTTATTTCAAGACTGATTTATACATCTGTTCTAACTTTATTTCAAACTTTTTTTGGTATTCTAAGGGACACCAGAAATTGGCAACAATTATATTACCACTATGTGTGCTTGAAATTCTTCCCATTAGCCTTGCAACACAATGATAAAATATTTCAAGTTTGCAAAATATGGTGAATGGATGTTATGAAGACAGAGCATACAAGAACATGGGAACATACTGGATGTTTGGAGAAGGGGAAACAAAGAAGTCCCCCCACCCCACAATCCCTAAAGGCATTTCTCTCACTTTTCACACAGCTTACCAGGAATTCATTATCATTTAGACCTTTAGATGTAAATATTGAGAACAGCAAATGTGACGTGGAGTCACATTAGATGGATATCAGTCATTTATACCCATGTTCCTATTCCATTTTCACTTTCCTACCAGAAAGCAGTGCCTTAAGAGAACAGGATATTGCTTGGCCATTTAAATGATAGGGAGGTGGTGAATACAATAGGAAATAGAGAGCAAAGAAGGGACCAAGGGTGAGCTGGATTGACTGCAAAAGAAAAACAAAAACCAAACAATGCTTAATACCCAACATTGCTTAGTATTAACTCAATTTAAATGAACCACTGGAGGATTTTTTCCCCAACTACCTTAGCCTGAAGCAGTAATAGTGTGTGACCATAAGTGTTCTGGAACCTAAATTTTCCACTGGTCAATATAGACTGGAACACTTAGATTCGGGTTGGTCAGAAATGGCAAGATCCAGAACTACTGAGGCTAAATTGAAATAATCCTTAGCCTAACATAAGATATAATGAGAAAAAAAGCACAAGCTACTTTTATATATCCAAATCTTGGCATTTTTTTTTGTTTTTGTTTTTTTGAAACAGGGTTTTGCTTATGTAGCCCAGACTGGCCTCAAACTCAAAATGATGCCTCTGCTATATACTTGGCTTAAATCTGGCAATTCTGACAAAAGCATTTGGTAATCACTGAAATGATAAATCATGATATAATCTTGCACATAGTGTGACACCCGTGTGGCCAGTAAAACCTGAATGGTTAAAACGATTATCTGATTTTCTTCCAGAAGACAGATTTATATGCACATTTCCTTAACATTCAATAAATATCAAATATTTTTACTCACGAGGAGCCCCTTCAGCCATTTCAATAGCAGTGATTCCCACGGACCACACATCGCTCTGCAAAGGAAAAGATGGCCCAAAACAGGTCACTTAAAAATGGGTAATTGGTAGTATTAAGAAATTCAAAACAGTCTTTGGCTGGGGATGAGGATATCAATGCCAGAGCCAATTCATGTGCCTTCTGTAAGAAAGACTCATTATACATTGACATTGTAAGAAGATATTTTCTGAGCTTGTGACCATCCAGTATGTCACTACATAATGAATTGATACGGAATGAGGTTCAGTGCAAGGGAAGTTTGTCTTGAATGTGCTGCTATTGCTTTCTCACCTAAAATATCAAAGTGAATTTGGTATAAAGAAGTCCTAATAGATAGAACCACAACCAGCACAATCTTGGGCAAATGATTTAACTCTCAGTACTTCAATTTTACTCTATGAAGAATGCTGATTATAATAGCAGCCACTTCCTTGAAATGGTGTGCATGTGTGTGTTTGCATACACATAGTTGATATATAAATATATTGTTTATTTATGTTAAGCATATAAATATGTATTTATTATATTTATTATATTATATTTATTATTTAAAATAATATATGAATTATCATATATTACATGTAAATTAGGTATGTACTAGCTAATATATTTATATGTATAAATATAAATATTTTAGAAGTTTCTGAAATATAGTAAATGGATACTAAATTACAGAGATCTTAGAAATTATCCTCACCACTATTAACTGTACTTTGTTTTTCATTGTGTAGAAAGGGCATAGTGCTAGAGGTACACTGGTTGGATGACTCCTAAACACCATAACTGAATTTTTGGAAGCCAGTATATAGATCTCTTCATTTTTGTTATAGTCTAAGCTTAAACTTTCTTTTGGGTATGTGGGGATAAAAAAATAAAAATAAATAACTAATACTGATGAAAAAGTCTTTGGAAGAGAGCAAAATATATATAGGAATAAAGTACTACTTTTTACAATAAGCCATTTGAAGAACTGTATGCATTTTAGTCTCTATAGGTTCTAATGTAGCACTGAACATTTAATAAGCTCTCGGTAAATAATTACTTTTCAGTTCAAGCAGAGGACTTTTAAGAAAATGGAAAAGAAACCTAAATTAATCAACTTCAAGTACTGTGTCCTAGGTTCCACACAGGAGCCCACATTGAATTGTTTGGATGACTTATGATGTGGAGAGTGAGTGAAGATTTTCCAGTCTATAGCAAATGCAGAGTTTTCCTTATTTCCACATCAGTTTTTTAAAATGCATACAAAGATAGATATTGTCCGTATTGCAGCCTCAGTGGAAATTTTAATAAATAGCATGAATTTTACTTAATTTGTCTCTTCCATTTATTTTCCTGTGGTTTTAGAAGTGAACTCTGCACCAAAGATTTTCTCCATTACCCTGAATAATCAAATTATTTTTTTTCTTTTTGGGGCTAAGTTATGGGGCTTAATCATTGGCTTTACATTTATTCATTTTTAAGTTTATAAAACCCACAGCCTCTGGAAGTTAATTTTCCATATAAAGCCACATAATATAGTATTTTTACCAAGAAATTACAAGCAATATGAACTAGACAGTCTACCTTCCAATAATTCCTCATGGTTTACTTTGTCTACATCCTTATAAAATATTATTTTATGCATACCTTCAAAACACATCAAGAAATAGAAGAGTGAATATGAAGGAACTGCTGCTTGCTTTTCATTTTTTTATCAATAAAAAGAAATGTTAGTCAAGAATCCTCCCAAAATTTTGATTCCTTCTATATGCAACCTCACACTCACTCTGTAATCATAGGAACGTCTTGGGTCCTCGTCACAGTTAATCACCTCCGGTGCCATCCAGTATGGTGTCCCAATAAAGCTATTTCTCCTTCCATTAGTTCTGCTCACCTGGGCACTCACTCCAAAATCCACTGATAATTTCAGCATATGTCAAAATAATTAACCAGGAACAAAAAGCTCAATAAGTTATTGGTTTAATTTGGGAAGTCAATACAAAAAAACACAGCAGATAACAGATTTTCATTCCAGCCCAGCAACTTTACCATGAAATCTACTCCAGGAATACTGGGAAATAAGTATTTGCTGATGTTTATGTTGGGATGAGACTCCACAGTGCCACTATTTACAGTAGGTTTGGCTGAATATTTATCAAGAATATTAAAAATAAAGTCCCATTGGTATACCCTGAACCTCTAATCCAGTAACATACATAGTGTGTATGACTGCCACCAAGCTGAAGGAAGAACAGCATTATAAGCAATATCTCAGAAAAGCAAAACCCATTAGCAGTTGACTAGGAAGCCTCACTCTTAAAATCAGAAAGTCCACCACATTTATATTGAAAAATGACCTTTCTGATAGGATTTAATTTAAATTCTTACACTCATCTTCTGAATTAAATGCAAGTATTTACCACAGTCTCTGTATCTTAGCTTAGACTATAAAGATTCCATCTTCTAATCTCTTGTGCGATACATTATAAGAAAATATTTAGTATGGTATCCTCAGAAACAGACAGACAAAAGGCTGAAGTAGACTGGAGTTATTTGTTCCAGAAAAAAAATAAGACAGGGATGAAAAATGAAGTAGGTTTTCTAATTGAGAATGGTTTCCAGGAATTCTCAGGATGGGAACAAAATTGACTGAAAAGCAGTTTGAAAAATTGAAGAGAAGAAAAGAAAAAGAGAAAATCCTGGTAGTTTAAGGCAGTCTTTAATAAAAGGTCTAATACTAACAAAAATTATCCAAAGTATTGTAAAGTATTTTGAAGATCATTATTGGTTGTTGCACATTCTCATTATGTAAACTAATTCTCTCTCTCTCTCTTCATGAACAAGTTAAATCAGCATTCCCACTAACCCTAATTCTCAATTTTAAGGAAAGAAATACCTATGAAGGCCAGAAGCTAATATGTGGCATACATCCAGGAAAGAAAATGAAAGGAGAAAATACTACAAGGAGTGATGAACAGAAGGAAAGAGAGAAAAGAAAGAAAATAAAAAGATGAAATTAAGATAAATGATGGAGTTGAAACTTCAATAATGGCCCAGTTTAATCTTTAATAACCTGTGGGAGTGGAATATGAATATTATTGATCAATTATAACTGCCATATAAAAATTTTTCCTGTCTTTTTTCCCACTGTCACTTCCTTTGGCTATCAGTAGTTTTGCCTTCTGCAACCTTCTCATTGTATATTGCTTAAAAACATCCTATGATCAGAGGTGGGGTGTAGCTCAGTGGCACAGCACTTGCTTAGCATGTACAAGGCCCTGAGTTCAGTCTCCAGCACTTCATGAAAAAAATAAAAGCTAGGACTTGAGAAATCTAAAACATATTGTATAAAGATTATATGTAAAGTAAGCTGGATTAAATTTTAATCCATCAATAAAATGTCTCCTTCAGTGTAAAATGCATGAACTTTGATGCAAAGACTTAATGACAGACATTTTAGTGGCTTTCACTTCCTTATAATTTCTGTTCTGTGTTGCAAATGGTTGAGTGGTACCAAATTGATCCAAGCAGAGTGTTGCACATCATGTATACTAAGTGTTTAGCATTAATGTGGACTATCTACTCAACACATTTGAATTAGAAATCTATATTCCTCTTATGTTTTTAATATCAGTTTCATAAAATTGTGTTTCTAGATTTGTAGCTTTTAGATAAAAAGAAATAGTATATTTTCTTGAAACCTATTTATTTCAAGAAAAGTTACTACGTGTACTTCTTTCACAAATGTTCATCAAAAAGTATTCTTAGTGAATGATCAAAAGTTTTACACTAGCTCTATTAGTTTACCAAAAAAGGGGGAGAAAATCATGAATTTATGTTAAAAAATATGTTAAAAATAGTTGATATAATAAAAAATAATACAAATGATTAAATTATTTATGTTCTTATCAGTGCAGTTATCTGTCATTACGTAGTACTGACATAATTTTATAGTATTATTAAAAAACCAACCATTGGGCCATATATATATATACATGTGTATATGCACATGTGTGTATGTATATATACATATTTCAAAGTTTGTGAGATATTGTTCCCTGTGTACCTGAGAGACAGTGTGTGTGTGTTTTAAAATAAATTATACCAAAAAATAGAATAAAATTAATTATACCACTCTAAAGCCTGGAATAGAAATCCAAAGACTTTCTGCTTTTTTAAAATTTTAATTTCTGAATTTTATTTGGATATCATTAAAGTATCATTTCTGATTGATATCACTTCTTTAAATATTTGAGAAGTAACTACAAGGAAGCAGTTTGTGTTTAATTAAAAATTCTTTGATAATCTTGGCAAAATAGAATGTAGATATGGAAAGAAATTTTTTAATCCATGCCCATGTCATATAAATTTGTACAAGGTAAATACTCAATTCAATTGCTGACATAAATATAATAGTTTTCTGTAATAGAGGGTAAAGCAATGACCAAAAAGTAATACTGCCAATAACATGTTTCATATGTTCTTTGCCCTATTAGTCTGGTTTTAGTCTGATAATTAACTTTATAAGGTTTTATAAGAAAAATGAGTAAGTCTGATGCTGGAAAAAATAAAAGAAGGGTGCAGGGAGGGGAGAGGGCAAGAAGGGAGTTGAAATGTGCTATTTACATGTACCAGTCCCCTACAGTAAATGCAATCATTATGTACTGCAAACATGTACTAATAAAAGTCAAAAAATAATTGTTTGTCTACATAATTTCAAAGAACTGGTTAGCTGAATCCTTTTTTTTTTTTTGGTACCGGGAATCAAACTTGGGACCTTGCACTTGCGAGGCAAGTGGCAGAACCACTGAGCTAAATCCCCAGCCAGCTGCAGCCTTTTTCTGTTGCTCCTGTTCCCTTCTCAAACAAATTTTCAACTTTTGACTAGTTTTGCAAGTACAGAAGACCCAGCTCAAATAAGTATAGGATGTTTGCAGGGACATGAAAAAAAGCACAGTTATATTAATGGAGTTTTCTTGATTAAGATGTTTTGGGCCTAACCTAACATAATGCAAAAATAAACTTACCCAGTTTTACTTCAGCATTATGAGTCAGGAGCACATTCTGACCTTTGATGTCCCGGTGAATTACTCGGTGTGCATGAAGATGAGCTAAACCCTGTGTGTGTATATATATATATATATATATATATATATATATATGCATATGTTAAAAGAAGGTCACATCAGTATACATATTTCTCTTTTCTGTTACTAGTCTTGGTATTTTTGGAAAAACATTTGTTAAGAAATGACTCAGATTTGATTTTTCAGACAAAATTCTTTCTTTAGGCTGGAATTACTATAACAATTTCCCGAAATTCTACTTTTGGTCACAAGGAAAGGAAAATAAACCAAGACACCCATGAAAGAACAGAACACCAGAAAGTAATGTGTGTATACATTGGGCCACTTTACCTTCTTTTTTAACCTCTCTATTTCCAACTAACCATAAGAGTATAGAACTGAACATCTTGACCATATCATTGCTCAGACATAGTTTTTCTCTATTCCTCATCCAACTATTTGTCTAGTCCAAAATATTTTCAGTCATCCTTGTAGGCTGAGTATTTGAGGGAATATGGAAATCATTTTAAACCATTTGTAATTTGTTTTGGCTTCCCCTGCTGGCCCAAGTCCATTCACCACTAAAACTAACCCATGACCCGGCTATACTATGACATGGTATGTAATATTAGGCTGCTGTGAATTTGCGCTAGACACTAACTGGGGGTGGATAATAGAAGTAACTATAAAAACAACTAAAATTGAATGAACCTTTATACTTTGCTAGATATTGTGGTAAATGCTTTACAAGGAATAAATTATTAAATGCTCACAGTAACCCTCTGAGGAAGATGTTAGTATTATTCCATATTACACATGAGAAAAGTGAGACTGGAGAAATTAAGTAGCTGACTCAAGGCCACATGGCTAATACATGGTGAAATAGAATTTAAACTCAGCAGAGAGCGCATACTCTTAGCCATTCACATTATTATCACAAATGAGTCTAATCAAATGGGAGGAAGGATATTCTAACAATGTTGAACGGTACTATTCATTTTTATTAATACCCTCCTTGGGTGATTTTAAGCATTTTGAGCCACAAAGGAAAAACTGAGTTTGGTGGAGAAAGAAGATTGTTGCTCCCATGCAATTGGGTGTTAGAAATTTAAAATTATATATCTATATATATGGCAACATTCAAAGAAGATATCTGTCTAAAAAGGTTTGGGCCCTTCTATAGAACATTGACTTCTCCTGATAGGTCTTCATCTAAATCTGTGATGACAGTGCTAAGCTTTTTAAAAAGTGAACTCTGGTGTGGGGATAAACCTCCAATAGTAGAGCACTTTTGTAGCATGTGCAAGGTCTGGTGTTCAATCCTCAATAGAACAAAAGAGGAAAAAACTAGAAAAGAAAAAAACTATGAACCCTAAAAATATAATAATAAATGGGGTCATTTCCATGATCCACTGAACACAATAGTTTGAATCTGACAGCCATTAAAGGCTATGATTCTGAAAGATGGTTGCACATCTTGCGGTCCAACATAAAATTGAAGGATATTAACTGAACAATTGATTTTTCTCAAGCTTTTTGGCCTTTTAAAATTTTTCTCTGATCCAGGGATTATGTTTAGAATTTCTCACTCTCTCTCTCTCTCTCTCCCGTCTTTCCTATATTTAGTACAGGGGGTTAAACCCAGGATATTCATACTGAGTTACTTCCTCAGTCCTTTTCATTTCTTATTTTGAAACAAGAGTCTTGTTAGATCACTCAGACTGAATTTGAATTTACAATCCTTCTCAGCCTCAGCCTCCTAAGTAGCTGAGACTACAGGTGTGCACTGGCTTTAGAATTCTTAAGCAACCACATATGAGATAGAGACTACATTCTATACAATCTTCCTAGGTTCTTTCAAGAGTAACGAAGAATGATTACATGAAAACTCACCTGAAGGATTTCTCTGCAGATATAAGCAATCCAATCTTCTTTTAAACTCTGATTTCTTGTCATTCTCACAACATCAGTGACTGAGCCTGCTGCACATAATTCCATCACCATCTACAGGGAAGCCATCCAAATATAAAGAAATAGAAAGTGATACTCTGAAACTATCTAGAGAATTTTAGTCCATATAGCTTGTATTTATATGTAAAGTTTAGAAATTAAAGCACTGAGAAGACTGACTCAGTTGTCTTCCAGGACTCCAAAGACTAGTTCAATTAGAATTTGTGGAGGCAGGAAAGCCAGGTACCACACCAAAGATATTTAACTAGGAGGAGGGTTTTGAACTAAGCCTTGAATTATAGGTAGTGTTTGGATATGCTTAATAGGAAGAACATTCTACTTATGGAAAACAGAAAAAACAAATACCCTCAGAAAGAAACAGGTGCAGGGGACAAGACTGAGTTATGACTAGAGTGGAAAGAAAGGAATAGTTGAGGGAACAGTTTGAGCTGAAGTGAAGAAGTAGCATATGGAGGGCCTAAAAATAGTACACATGAATGTTAACAGTAGGTAGGATTTTCACTGTTTTGTTTATTTTCCAACTCTACATTATTTTCCACAAAATACCGATGAACTACAGCTCCAAGAGGAAATCGTCAATTGAATTCCTTTAGTATAATTTATTTCAAATGGAATTAATGCTGAGGAAGTTTATTTTAAGGCTAACCTCTTTGACAGCATTTCATTCTGATTTTACTGTTAATAAATTTAACATGTCAGAAAAATTACTTTTGCCATCAATGAATTTAGTGCAAAAGTTGTAAATTTCTTACAAGATAGTATTAGCTAAATAAGGAAGACAGATGAATAGGAAGGAGAATATAACTATTATAATCAACCTACCAAACTGTGCTTCAAGTGGAGGTTTATGCATCACTACACATGTTGAAACCAGTTTGTCAAAAGGACAAAATACATGTTTTTATCTATAAGCAAGTTAATTGTCACTATAGATGAATGAAAGCAAAAAGATAAACTCAAAATCTTGAATATTTAAAAATGTAATACTATTTCCTTTTGGAATATTATTTTTTTTCAAAAAGCTACTTCCCTAATTTGTAGTTGTTCACCATTGATAATACTGAATGCATTGACCTGTATACACTGTCAGTAAAAGAAGAAAGAACTCAGTCAAATGAAATCAACTGTACAGATTAACTATGAAAGGTAGATTTTTCGTGTTGGGGACTAAGTGCTGACTATTGGATGGCACAACATGTACACTGTGGTAATGGAAGCAAAGGGGTTCATTTTGAACTATGATTAACCTGAATTAAAGCCATTCACCTAAGATGGACCCTGAAAGATCTTGCTAACATCTAAATCAGAAGTATTCAATTATAAAAGGAACAGGAGGCATTCACAATGATTTTCTTAGCTTTGTAAGCATAGCATCTGATGTATATAAATGGTAAATGTTTGGCTATTTACATACTTCCTGTTTGTTTTTTGTCTGATTTACATAGGCAATAAAGTGTTGATGGACCAACAGAAACTCTTAGCTCCACAAGTAATTTATGCATTAAGTTCCTATTCATCCTTCAGATCTCAGTTTAAGCTTTTATTTCCTTAAGGAAGAGTTTTCATACCCCCGCTTAAATTTAGTTTCTTTTATTATTCACTCACATAAAACCATTTTATTTTTCTTCTGACATTCATTTGTGTGTCTGCTTAATATTGGTCTTTGCAAGTAGACTGTAAGCTCCAATGAGCCAGGGGCATATCTATTCAGCTTACCGTTGCGTATCCCCAGAATCTAGTAGAATGCCTGGCAAATAGATGGTTTTCAATGAATGTATGTTGAATGACTGAATGAATTGAGTACTAATAATATATATCCAATAAGGAAACTGCAACATTTTTCATAGTTTGCCATACTGTCAAGAGGAAAAAACTTGTAAGTAAAGATATATGAAAAGACAAATGGTGTATGTAAAAAATAAACTAAAAACCAGTAACCATTACAGCTGTGCAGCAATATTTAATAAAATCTCAATTGAAATTGCCAGAGAAGAGAGGAGTCAAAATAACTGGACGTTTGAGAGGAAATGGGATTTAGTTGAAAATCTCTAAATTTGGTGGTTCTCAGATTATTGTGCTCAGATCAAAAGCATCAGCATCATCTGTGAACTTATTGGGAAGTGCACATTTCACACACATCCCTGAGCTACTGAATCAAAACTTCTGTGAATGCGATCCAGTAGTCTGTGTTTTATATAGCTCCCCAGAAAATTCTGATAGATGCCAAGAGCTGAAAACCACTGTTTCAATTTAACCTTTTGTTGAAAAGCTTTCCATAGTGTCACTACCTACTTCCTCACGTCCATATAGAATATAAGAGGATCTTTTATCCCCACTTGAAGATTCTGAAAAACTTTATTTGTTACTTTAAAAAAATGTATTACTACTGATTTGGACTGGAACAGAAAATGTACCAAGTATAGATATTACATATACAATGACTCCAGTTTATATTCTAAATATTATGCTTTTAAGAAGAACATCTTTAACCAAAGCTCATTTTCTTGCTAATGTACTTATGGAGGGCAGCAAAATTTCTAGTAACTGTGGCTCAATGAGTCTAATGTCTTATTAGCTTCTAAAATTTATATTTCATTGATAGGATTTTGTGATACCCTGGCCATGATGACTACAAAATGGATAAGTCAATTAACTAGAAGAGAATATCTAGGAGTTATGTTTTTACATAAGTGCATAAATTTGAAAATGCTTAAAATGTACCCATATGCTCATGTTGAATACTAATTACAATTGATCCTTATGTAGTTTTTATTTGCTAATCCATCAGGCAGCCTCCATACCAGAAAACAGACTACCTTATGTTAAAAGTAGCCAAACTATACTTGAAAATATTTGTTACATATTACCAGCATTCGAGTCCTCCCTCATCCCACCAAGAAACCACTTGCGAGACATATAAGTTATCTTTCTTTATTTCATCACTTTCTTAAAGCACTTCTTTCCATTATTACCTTGAGCACTTGAGAGCAGAAGTTTTCCTGTAGATGCACAAAGTGCCATATCAACTCACAGAAAAGTACTTCTTTGGATAAGACTTCTTTCTATCAAATAATATTAAGATAATTAACAACATACCCAAAGTTGGTGTCTGTGGCCAGGGGGACTCAGCTTGAAAAATGCACCATAGAAAGACACAATGTTTTTGTGGAAAGAGTACTTCCTCAGAAGGTTGAGTTCAGTCCTGAGATCTTCTTCCTCATCCTATGGAATAGGAACAGACAATAAACTGCTAAACCACGCAATTCAATGACTATTGATCTCTAAACTCAAGTAAATTTATAAAGTAAAATGGTATTGCAAGATCTTATATCCCACAGTAATTCATAATAACATCTCAACTTGAATTTTCAGCAAGTGGAAATCTCAGGTTAACTTGTTATTTTTTTTGGTGGGGGAGGTGGTAGATTGAAACTCTCTTAATTCAGTAGTTCTTATAATGTGGTTCCCGTATCAGCACAACCGACCATTGTATAAAGTTTTGATTAAATAGAGTCATAGAATTTTTGTTTGCTTTACAAGGCAAAAATAACTTGGTTTTTTTTTGGTGTTACTCAGATATTATATGCACACTATAATTCACTCAATTTAAAGTGTACAGTCCACTGCTTCTTAACATATACAGAATTGTACATTCATTGTGACAACTGTTCTACACACACAGATCTTTATTTTCTTTGTGTAAAGTTATCTATTCTGGTTATTTAAAATACATGAAACCATATAATATGTGGCCTTTTGTGACTAGATATTTTTAAAGTTCATGTTACATTATGTATCTATTTCATTCTTTTAGATTACCATTCATCAATCAATGAACATTTGTATTATTTTCACCTTTTGGATGTTGCAAACAATGCTTCTATGAGCATACATATCATATTTATATGGATATATATTTCAATTTCTCATACGTATACTTAAGGAAGGAAATTGCTCAGTCAAATGGTAATTATGTGCTTAATGTTTTGATGAAATGCCAAACTATGCCTTAAAATTTTATATCCTCAGTAACAACGTGTAAAAAGGGTTCCATTTTCTCCACACTTTCACCAACACTTTATAATCTGTTTTTATTATTATAACCATTATATAGTAAATGATGACATAGTATACAATTATGGTTTTGATTTAAAATTCCCTGATGACTAATGATGTTGGACATCTTTTCATGTGCTCATTGGCCATTGTATATGTTCTTTGACAAATGTCTAATAAAAATTCTTTGTGGTTTTTTTAAAGCTAAGCTACCTTTTATTATTAAACTGTAAGAGTTCTTTATATATTCGAGATAAAAATGCCCTATTAGATATAGAATTTGCAAATAATTTTTCTATTTGGGGAGCTTGCTTGAACTTCTTGACAAATGTTCTTTGAGGCACAAAAGTTACAAATTTTGATGAATTCCAGTTTATAGATTTCTTGTTTTGTTGCTTATACTTTTGGTGTCATATTTAAGGATGTATTGCCAAGTAAAAGGTGACAAGGATTTAATCTTCTGGTTTTTTTTAAGAATTTTGTGATTTTTACCTCTTATATTTAGGTCTTTGATCACTTTAAGTTAATTTTTGTAGAAAGTAGAGGTCCAACTTCATTCTTTTGTATGTGGATAGTCAGCACCACACTCAGTCTGTAATTTCTTACCTTTTAAAGGCATTGTTTTGTTCTGTGCTAATCTTTTTTAAAAATATGTTTAAAATAATTTATTTTCCTAATCAAAGCAATTGTACATGTATATGAATTAAGATATGCAAATAGTGTACTGTCATGGAAAACTTGCTCCAACCATTGCTAACAGTTTATAGTGTATTATTTCAGATATTAGTATATGCTAATGCAGTAGCTAGAACAATGGCAGAAATATATATATATACATATATAAAATAGGGAATTTATTTTTAATATAAACAAGCTTATACTTTTTCACTATTCTGCAACTTTCAAATTTTTATTAACAAATCACATCTTTTTTTTAATTTTTATTAGTACATGTTTGCCATACATAGCTTTTACAATTCGTTGAGATGAGTTGGTATATGTACCTGACACATCTTAATTCTTTCTTCATCCCCTTTCCCTCCCTTTCCACCCCCTCCCTCCATCTCTTGGTCTTCTTCCCTTTTGGAAAGCACATCTTTCTATATTAATAAATGAATACACATCCTTTTATGGCCTCATAAGATAGCATAGAATGAAAGTACAGATCTGATGCTCAGATCAGGTGTAGAGGCATTCCTGTTTTTGAGAATTATCTATATAGTGAAAATTGAAGGCATCTGACTTGGATAAGATAACTAAAGTAGAACACATAGTTTGAAGAGGTAGAACTGGCAGAAGACAGTGCAATATCAATCAGAAAAGAGCACCTACCCTGGACATTAGGAGAACTGAGTTTGAGCATTGATTTCCCCAAATAGAAAATTCTCTTAATCTTCCAAAACTTCAATTTACTTTAAAAATAATGGAAGATGTACACCTTTACCTATCTCCATGAATTGTTACTAGGACCAAATTGGATCGTATGCATAATGTCTCTGAAATTCTTGAAAGACGGTATACACGTACGATATTATCAAAAATATCTGTTACTTCTCCTTTTGTTGAATAAGAGTTTTATCAGAACTATAGTCCTCTCTTTACTTTTTACCTTAATCTACAAACGGCAGCCCTTTCATTCCCAGTATATTTGGTATTGTGGAGTGAAATATCAAGCGATTCTTTCCCCTTAAGCTTCAGCTATGTCTGCTTGTCAGATGACAACCAAATGATTTTGATAATCCTCTTATAACCATTATTTCTTAGGGAATCTGAAAAAATCTTTGTTTCTTAATAATTTGAAAATAACCACACTTTTGTGCATCTAGCTAGTTACTATATACTAGAGAAAAATACCTTAATATATTAACTTACAAAAAGGTACTTCAATTGCTAGGAATTTACAATGATCATATTAGTAGTTTGTACATTTAGATATTACTGTTCTAGCTTAAAGAAACTACCATACAGGGAAATAAGATTCACATGCATGATTGGCATAACCTGTCGTGAATACAAAATAGTGCATATGAAGTAGAAGATGATAAATAATGACTCAGAAAAGAATTCTGCCCTTGAAAGATGGATTCACCACTAGGTTCCTTTGAATCCCTACTAGTTCTAAATTATATTTGATTCTAAATAAACCAGCTCTCTCAGTGTATCTATAAAAGTTCAATTCATATGAACTTCTTAGGAATAGTGTTACCGTCTAAAGTCTAAAGTGAAATGTATTTGTAGAATATAAATGGAAGAAGACTTGAAGTACATACACAAAGATATCCTATTGTGAAATTCAGTATAAAAAGGATACTTTTCTGTGCAAAGAACTAAGAAAAGGCCAATTGACAAGAAAAACTATGAAGGGGTTAACTGCCAATTATCTTTACCCCTCTCTAGCATTTTCAACAACTACACTGACTTAACAACCTGAGGAAATAAGCCTCCTAGCAGAATAGAACTACTCAGTAACTCAAAATATCTATGCAGTTATTACCTTCTTTCTTTGCTTATCCTCTAGACTCAGAAGGCAAAAGTGGGCAATTACCTTATGTGTTTGGTTATATTGTGGATTGATTTTAAAAATGCTTATGATATAAAAACAAGGAAACGAACTAGGCTCTGTCATATCTCCAAGTTGATTTGTTTTCTGTTGGTAAAGTATCTTTTTTCCTCCCAAATGCCAAGTACTTATACCATGTCTTATTTTAAAAAGTTTGAAATCTCAAACAAATACCTGGCAGCTGCAGGACATTCTTTGAAATTTTCCTTGGATTTTCCAGGGGATTTACTCAAATACTGTACTAGAAAATAAATCTTCATACCAATTTGTCTTATGGGGGAAGGCTGATTTTTTTCAACTGGAAGCCCCCAGTGAAAGATTCTCCCTTTCTAGTTATTGTGTAATAAAAGCACAGATGAATAAAAGAAGCAAATTATACTATAAGAATTTATTGCATGGCAATACAGGCTCCAGTCTCATCCTAGCCTCTCAAAGAAGCTCATTTAGTAAGTTCCCTTCAAATTTCTATAATCCTTTTTCTAACAAGGTAAAAGAAAAAATTATCCCTGTGGCTTCTATTTCTGTCCTGCAAGACACTTGAATCTCATTCTATTCCTGTGGTATAGCCTTTCTTTAAGAGGATAAACATATCTGACATTATGTAGACATAAACCTCAGGAACAAGCGATTTTGTATGTAATCTCAGTTTATGTTAAGATATTAATGATATACTGAAAAGAGTATGAACACGTAATAGTGCAATAAATGGGAAAGATGCTAGTGTAAATCTAAGAATATGAGTGAAAAGTTATAGAGAAGCAGGGGCAAGAATAAGTCATTTAACCTATTTGATTGTTTGAGGCCAACATTCTTTTTCTAGGTTCCAAACCTCACACTGCCAAAAAATAGGAAGATAATGGCTGGATTTTAGGTAACAATGGTATTGTATTTGTCGTATCATTTTGCTTATGAGGAACCTGAGTCCTAGAGATGTAAAAAGACCATTTTTTCAAGTGCTGTTTGACTATTTAGTAGTAAACTTGGATTTACACTTACATTTCTGAACATCTACATTATTGCTAATTCCATAAAGCCCTGGTATCTAAGATGTGTGAGCAAATCACAGGCTTTTTATTCCAAGGGATTTGAGACGTTGAATGGCTGATTAGTTAGCGCCAATATTTCTTACTAGAATACATAACCAGAGAATTCAAACTCTCCAACAAGAAAAATCCTATAAAAGTAGGCTTCCCATATAAATGTAAATTCCCCCAATACAAATAAATGAAGATCAGATATGTTTGGAAGGCATGTGTGTATGCCACTTTCAATTAACAGGAAGTTGAGCTTGTGAAAAACACATAAATACATTACATCCATCAGGCCAAGTGGGTAATTTAAAACTCTCATACTTCTGCCAGTAATACAATGCTACAACATTTCCTGGCTCAGGGCCAGTTGATCCTAGGCTTGGCCTGAAATCTCTGCTTTTTGTCAAGGATAGGCAGCTCAAGGATGCCAGAATTCCCTTTGTAATTTTCCCAATTCTAGAATCAAATCATTTGAATTACAGAAAGAATACCAGAAAAGTTTTGGGAAAGAATTTTAGAGTTTTATTAACATATGTATTTGATAAAATTAGAATTCATCGAATAATTACATTTTTTATATCTTATATTTTGTGGCTTCTTGATCTACAAAATCCTGTAATAGCTGTTTCCTTTGGATATGCTTTGTCTCTCAAGATACATTAGAAACAAAAAGAAGCCTGGTACATAATAGACAAATTATGAAGCTGTTTAGCAATACCTTTCTAATATAACTAGATTTTGTATGTGATCATATGAATATTAAATATTATCTTAATGCATCTGAGAGTACACTTATTAAAATACAAAAGGTTGAAAATATTTTAATCCTAAAAATTAGACTGAAGGAGATAATTAGGAAAATATATCAATGAACTATATTAAGAACAGTAATCTGCAGTTAGGTCTACATAATACTTTCATAAATTATCAATATCTATTGGAAAATAGAATTCTCTTTGCTTAGTCTTATTCTAGAGTCAGTGAATCATTAAAATCAGCAGATCTCAAAAAAACTACAAGTAAAAAGGATCTTCACTCCTGTATGCGGTCAATTACAGTTGTTAGATGTCAAGACTATAAGGCTGGGAAGCCTGTTGATTTTCTGTCTCCACTGCTCTTACAATAAAAAAAAGAGTAGCTATCATTTGGCTCATATATAATAGTAATATTAGTTAGAATCATAATGCAAGAAAAGCTCTTCAGTACAGACCACCAAGTACAAGGTATGAAAAAGATCTTACCAAGGACAATTTTGTGTAAAATTTGCTCTTGGCTCCATCAACTCCTCTTTTGTTTCCACCCAGTCAAAGCCCGTTATCCTCCATAGATGTCCTTGTAGTCAACCTTTTCTGGTTCAAATTACCATTTCTTCTAGGCCCTGCTATTTGGCAGGTGTTAATGTTCAAATATGATGTCTGAATTTGTAGGCGTATGTTAGAAAATACAAACATCACCTTCATGCAACAATATTTTAGGGGTGGCCTTACAGAGACAATAACATAATGCAAAGGGATGAGTTTAAAGCTGAAAAATAAAGCAAAGACTATGTGGTTGCTAATGAGGACTTCTAGCACTCACACTGTATCTCCAGCCAACAGACTTCTGATATTTATTCACTCTCACCCGTCTTCCTATTTCAGGTAAAGGAGTCTGAAAAACCAACAACAAAATATTATTAGGTCCACTGGTATACTTTGGCAATGATTTGTGCTTAAGTTTTCTGTGCTTCGTTTGCACCAAATGGAAGAGTAAGGTAATGCTATACTTATCTTAATTTTTCACAAATAATTTTAATCTAAATATCAGTTTCTTATTAAATGATAAACAAGGCACACAATTTATTGTAATAGATGTAAATGCTGCATTAATGACAAAATTTCTATATGGCAGAAAAGTGCTGTGTTCCCCTACAAAACCAGGTTATGAATACTAACCACTGACTGGCTGATCGCAATTTTTAAATATTTCAAAATTTAGAGTATCTGAAATGTGGATGAAATGTGGATTTATGTCTCTCAAGCTGATACAAAGAAATAAGTATTTTCTATAATTTCACTCAGAAAAGTACAAGTTTGATTATTTAGAAGGCATGGTTTATAGAGTAAAATGAATCCACAAAACCTCAAAATCCCTTGAAACTCACACTGGTTTGCAACATTTGACACTTACTGGCAAAACAAAAAGTACACAACTCTTTAAATAGCTTCAGCAATTAACTTCCTGCTTAAATTGGAAAGAACCATTTACAGCACAGCTTGTGAATTTGCACAGTTTTTAAACATAATTTTTCATTTAAGATATAATGATGTGAAAATCTTTTGATTTTTGTTATGTTCATGTTAATATTATTTTGAGAAAATGAGATAACGCATCCTAAGAAAAAGAAATCAATACTTAGCAAATTCTATGACAATATGTTACAAACTGTTATACAACTTTATAAATATTAGCAGAAACAGTGCCAATTAAACTGTTTCTCTTGCTCATCTGTCAGAAGATACATGAAAAATGTGCACCTCTGACAAGTTCTTTACTTCTGCCTGTCATTGAGAATTTAATAGGCTCCATCCTCAGAAGGAATCATAGCAAAGGAAAGATAATAAGATGGAACTCAGACAGAGTAACACAATATGGAGGAATAGGGGGAATATATTCTTTATTACTCCTGATAACAGATAATCAATTGCAAATAGAAAGAAATACAGATATTTTCCCTATTGTTGTAGAATACCAAAATATGTGGAACTTTTGGTGTGAGTAAAGTATTTTAATGTGGAAATATAATAAAAGAATAAGTATAATACACCAATATATATTAATAATATTAGAAAACTATTGGAACTGGTATTTAGCTCAGTGGTTCTGCCACCTGCTTCACAAGCATAAGGTCCTGAGTTCAATCCCCAGTACCCCCCCAAAAATGAAAATTATAATAAATCCAAATAACATAATAATAAATTATGTAAAATAATAATTTATCAACAAACACAATATTTATTGAGCTGCTTATTCCAAGAACACAGTCCTTAAAGAAATAGAACACAAACAAGATACAGTATTACCTTACGAGCATTCATCACTTTAACAGCTGTAAATGCACCAGTCTTTTCATGAAGTCCCTGAAACATCAGATGGTGATAAACATGAAATATTAGCTATTTGACTCAGCTATAAAGAAGCAATCAAAGTTAAGAAAAGAAAATTAAATAAAGCTAAGTACATATCATGTTATGAAATATAAAATAGTATATACAGATGAGATATAAGGCATATATAGAAATCAGAAACACTAAGTTATCAACAGTGTAAAGAAACTCCAAATATTTCACTCAAAAAATCAAGCAAATTTATGGAGCAGTTTTGTTTTTTATGTTTGTGTTAAGTATTGGACATAATTGACCATTTAAAGTTATTGCTTACTCAATGTTCTTGGGCTAGATCTGTTTGGCATCCACATACAAAGTGGAAATTTCAATTAAGGATGACTCAAAAGCAGATGATCTACTATATAACTTTTTTTTCTTTTTTTGGTACCGGGGCTCAAACTCCGGACCTTGTACTTGCAAGACAGGCAGCAGAACCACTGAGCTAAATCCCTGACCCTACTATATAACTTTTTAACTGATCATATCGTACTATGCAACCACATCTTTCCACTGGACCGTTTCTCACCCACATACATTTCTCTATAATTATCACTACTCATAAAGGTGACTCATAATTACTTCAACACCCTCTAAACTGCTTGATTTGTCCTGAATCATATGAACCAAATGTTTTATGAAAGGAAAAGCTCTGGAAGATTCTCTCTTATTGGAAACATGATAAGTTCTAAGAATTTAGTCTTATCCTAAATGAAAGTGCAGGTTACAGTTTACAATTTTAAAAGATGAACATGTAAGAATGAAATTATAGCTGTTATTTTGCATCTGCTTTTAAAAAGTATTTCAAGCTGTGGCAATACCAAAAATCAGCCCAGCATTACTATAAGAAACGTTAACATAAACAGAATGTCTTATTTGATAGTTTTCCAGCAAGATGATTTTATCCTTGGGCTGCACTGGATTGATCAGTGTTCTACCAAAATTTAAATTAATCTGGAACCTTAGGAATATATTTTTTGCAGATGTATTCAAATTAAGGTGCGGTCCTACTGGATTAGGATGGTCAGTAACTGGTGTCACTTGTCTTAATTTGATTAACTTGTTTGGACAGAACGATATTATTTTGCAGGATTATGACAACACATGAACTTTAGCTGCATTTATATAAATTATTAAATATGTTGGAAACCTTAAATTTATTTACATCTCTAGGGCCAATTGTATATTAATATTTTTTTCATTTAGTCCTTATCACAATTTAGAAAGTGTTCCTTTTCTAATTATTCTTACAAGTACTTCTTAGGGAAATAGTTCCCATATCTATATGCATAAATATAACATATTAGAAATTGATTTTCACCCCTTAAAAGGATTACAATATTCCCTGCTTGATTCTAAAAGGTTATCTATGAGTCAAATTAATATTGTGTGCAGTATAAAGCATTTGTCATATTATCACAGATATTAGCCACACTGTTTCTGGTTAGGCTGATAGTAAAATAAGAAAATGTTAATGTCAGACTTTGCATCAGTCATAATTGGAATACACATTAATGAGATAACTGAATATCACTAAAAGGTACTACCCGTGGTCATAGAATTCAAAAATTTGCTTTATTCCTACACTGATTATCTCTGATTTATTCTCGTTTGAAAATTGCATAAAACAATACTGACAATGTATCCTAATGTGCTTTGTCAAAAATATACTTTCTGTGGCTGCAGAGGAATAAAACCCTAGGTCTCGGTACTATGTAAAGAGCTAAAACATTATATAAAATTCTATAGAATGGTGGTGTATATATATAGATAACAGATAATGATAAATTATTGCTGCTAATGAGGCATTTCAGAGAATTTCATTTGTATCTTGCATTTTTAAACTTGTACTTTGAAATAATTTTAATCCTAAAAATAGTTTCACAAATAGTACAGAGACTTTCTGTATTTCCTTCATTCGGCTTCTTCTGATGTTAATACTGTATATTGCACTTCCAAGTTACAATTCTCAAAACTGAGAAATACAACCTATTAACTAAATTATAGTTTAAAACATATTAACTATTAGTTATAGTTAATTTTCATCCTGATTTCCCCAGTTTGTCAACTAACATCTTTTTTTATGGCCCAAATTGGGATCTCACATTCTATCTAGCTGTCATTTCTCCTTAGCTTCTTCAGTCTGTGACAGTTGCTCAATCTCTCCTGTATCTCATGACTGTGACACTTTTCAAGAGTACTGATGAACTATTTTACATAATGTCCATCAATTTAGGTTTTGGCTGATGTTTTCCTTTGATTAGACTGAAGTTGTGAGTTTGAGAGAATACCACAAGGATAAAATGTCCCTTTTATCACATCATATCAGGGATATATGGTATTACTGTGATTTTCCCTTCTTTCCCCCCTGCACCTTATTCTTTTTATCTTTTCTACTAATATCCCTTCTACTTTCATGTTTAACACTGGTTTTGAAGAGGAATAACATTTTTCTTGAAGAAAACCTGTGAGTCATTTTGAGATAAACTAATTGTTTAGTGGTGCCATCTTGTGGTTTACTGATTACATGGAAGATGTTTGCTGACTGTAGCTAAAGGCTGTGTTGTCATAAATAGTTTCCCTAAATGATATGGTGAAATCGGACTTGTAAATCCAGTTTTTAGGACATGCAGTGCTTTCAGTTACATTGTGTGATTTATGACAATTTGAAACACCATTTGTTGTAAGCACACATAAAAATGCTAAGAAAAGTGTTTAGTTTAGGATTCTAAATTGAATATTAAATAAGCACAATTGTCATTGGCCCTATAAAATAACAGAAAAAGCCTTAAATTACAAATGTGAATTTTGTATATTTTTCCTATATTTTTCCAATATTAAGAATATACAGCAGTCATTAGTTGTACTACATTAACAATGCTTCCTTGAGTTTAATTGCAAAGAATGGTCATTATAATTTTGTTAAATTGGTGAATAAAAACTATATATACCTCTGGTGTATTAACAAAATGGCTCATTATATGTATACATTGTGTAAAGGATAAACTAATCTTATTAACATACATACTATTTCACTTGCTTATCTTTGGAGGGGTAATGAGAACACTTAAAATCTACTATCTTGAGTTTGAAAATTCCCAACAGGAAGAGATGATTAAATGTTGAAGGAGATGGAAATAATAATTGCCCTGGTTTTATGATCACACATTGTATACATTTATTGAATTATCACATTTTATTCTATGAATGCTTACAATTGTTATATGATAATAAACATTTTAAAAATTACTGTTGGTAATTTTAAGCATGCAATTTATTGGTATTAATTATAGTTACCACATTGTACACTAGATCTCTTGGATTGATTCCTCTTTTCTATTTGAAATATTACTTGTAATTGAACTGTTATTTGAATATCTTCCCAAACACTACCCCACATTCTACTTCTGCTCTGTCTCTATTGCTAAAGTTTTTGTCAGTGTTTTTCAGTTTCTTCATATGGGTGAGATTACTTGATATTCGTTTTTCTTTACCTGGATTATTTCACTTAGCATACTGTCCTCCTAGCTCATCTATGTTATCCAAAATGAAAGGATTACATCTTAAATAATTTTCAAATACCAAGGAGCAAAAATAACAAAAGTATTTTAGCCCTCATTTCTATCATAAGAATAGATCCTGCTGCATTAATTTTTTATATAAGTCCATAGTCTCATTGGTATTTTAGAAATAGAAAATGGTATGTAATAACAAGGCTTTATAGACATCTCTGAGTCCCATCTCAAGTCTATTGTCATTTGGAATGAAAGGTTTACCATCTTCATTGCAGGAACTTATTGTCATGATATCAGACTTATTCAATGTGTTAAAATTTAGCTACTAATAAATGAAGCTCATATGTTTGGATTTTAGTTACAAAAGAGGTCACCTACTTCAAATAATTTCCACATATCACAAGTCTTAGTTACTCTCTCATTGCTGGGACAAAATACTCAACATCCACAAGTTAAAGGAGGAAAGCTTCATTTTAGCTCAGAGTTTGTAGAGGTTTCAGTCCATAGTCATCTGGCTACAAAGCTGGGGGGTGGTGCATGGCCGAGCAAAGTGGCAGAGGAGAAACAGTTCATGGGCTGGCAAGCAAGAAGCAGTACAGCCTTCCTTCTTCTTTCCCTTTTTATTACATCTAGTCTGTAAGATTATTGCTTGGTTCAACTCACACCCAGAGCACATCTTCCCTCTTCAGGGAGTCCATCATCCACACAGAGAACTATGCTAAACCAATCAGCACTCTAACCTAGTAACACACACCCATGACCCAATGTCACACACTCATGATCCAATCACTCCCAAAAGCCCAGCCTATGAGAGCATGAAGCTTTGGGGGGAAATCTAAATATAAGTCATAATATCCCACAACCTGAGATAGTATATAAAAATCATTCATGAAGTCCTGTCTCCCATTTATTAAGGTAATGAAACTCCCTGATTATTCAAATATTCACTGAAAGGTTTATTAGTATTTATTACTTTAATTTGTTTTTCAGATGAGGTAACTGAAACAATGGCATGAATAAGTAAGTAGTGATGGAAGGGTGGAGAAAGAAAAGGGCTGACCTCTGAGAAAGAGGTTCTAGGAGAGGTTGTTCTTCAGCCATAATTAAAGGAGCAGGTGCCTGGAATAGGGAGGAGGGAAACATTAAATTTGTGGTTTCTTTAAGTTGTGAAGAGAGTTTAAAATTGCAGGGAGTTGTTAGTTGCTCATGGTGGCATGTTCTTGCAATTCCAGCACTCTGGGAGGCTGAGGAAGGAGGATCACAAGTTTGAGGCCAGCCTTGGGCAACTTACAGCGATGCTGTCACAAAATAAAAAAGCTCTGGGCATATAGCTCAGTATGAAGGCCCTTGGTTCAATCCACAGTACAAAGAATTTTTTTTATATAGGTGGGGAGTGATGGAAAGACAAAGGGATAAACTGCTCCAAGTCACAATTTCATTAAAAGATTTTATAGTTTTAAG